ACAGAGAGTGATCAACTCCAGGTACAGAGGCGACTACATCGAACCCGTCATCTACCGAGCCATCATGGAGTAGCTAGCGATGACCCAGCCTGCACCCAAATCCACCAGCACTCATCCAGCGTCTCCAGTACACCCTGCCAGTGTCAGTAGCGTTCAGTTCGCAGGGGTCGGACACCTGGATGGGTTTGATCGCTCCTCGGTGGACTATTACTAGCCCTATGTCGACCATCTATTCTGATGTATGGGTCTAGAGTCGAGGCAGGGTGTTTCACAGTGTCTTTCTCAGAGAATGCAGCTTTGTCATTGGGTGTGACACCCTTTTAATAACCTCAGCTCTGTGAAACTATGCCACAAACACTCTAGAAACACATCAGCATGAACATCAGGTTCATGGAGTCGCTCCAAATTACATTAGTTTGATACAGAATATTTGTAATCTCCTAATCTACTTTTATCAAATTGCATTAATTTATTTGACTTAATTGAGGGTGCTGTTTCTACCCGTATTTTACCGAACGGAGGTGCCATTGCCATTTTATGCATGCGGATCTCCTTTTTTAAGATCTACACTGTCATAAATTGTGCAGTTGAGATCCTGAATATTGTACATTATTTGGAACATAATGAATTCAGTGTGTCTTTGAGTCATTTTTTACAAGCCTATTTATTACTGGTGCTTTACAAAAGTACATTTTGCAATATGAGTTCCAGTGCTGTCGAAGTTCGACACCGATCTGTGTGTTCTGGTTTTGGAAAGAGGATCGCGTAGCTACTGAAATGCCAAGGATCTCACTTTCACAGCTGTTCAAGCCCTGCCTTGCACTCTGGTTCAATACACTTTCATTCAGACGTTTCTATTAATGTAGCTTCTTACTGCTGTCAACATTTTATCAGAAGCCCCTATGGTTTTAATAAGCTATTTTTGCACTTCTCAGCTGAACTTTTATGATCTGTCATCTTTGTCCTTGCAGTAGCCAAGCTCTTAAGACCGAAATGCATTCATGAAAGCTGAGGAGGCCGTTGTTTGGACCGTCTAGCTGATGGCATTTGCAGAAAGTAAGGTTGTTGCAGTCCTTCAGTTGTTCGAAAGATAGATGGGGCTAGTCTTCACTATAAAAAAAGAAAAATATAAAAGATTTTTTTTCTATCAAGAAGCCTATTTTATTGCTTTGTTTTATAATACATGTTTAATGTTCATATACTCTGAGATAGAGTTGTATGTAGTTAATTTAAGAAATCTTGAGCTTTCGGCACGTTTCTTTTGCCTCTTGTGTTGCTTTCAAACATGAGCCTCGTTCTCACTGCACTTCTGAATGCAGAGGCTTTAGGACTTCCATACATGTATTTTGTAAAAATCATTAATGTGCAGCAGTAAAAGATGTGAGCTGACATGATGTTTCCTACACTGGGGTGTCTTTTTTTTTCATTCACATTCAACATTTACTGCATTAAACAACAGTAACTAGATTTACTGATTTAGTAATGTATTTTATTTTATTTCTCAGTTAATTTGTCAATCATATTTTCACCACAGGTTGATAAAACCACAGACAGCATACCACAGCCAGCACCATGGAAAATTTTGAATTTATATATATATATATAATATAAAATAATTCAAGATTGTTGTTGATATATATCGTTTTCATTTTTGGTCTGGACCAAAAGAAAGGAAAGTGAGAACACACCCTAAAACATTTTTTTATTAAAGCCAATATTCAGAACTTCTGAACAAGTGGGAAAAATATTTTGCATTCAATTCTGAAGAAAAAAAAATCACAGATTATAATAAGACATTAAGGGGATAATGTATCAGTAAAAATAAACAAAATCCTGTTAAATTTATGGATTAAAATGCAGGGACAACCTTTCAGTAGATGGTTTAATTGATGTTTTTATAGATTATTACGGTTTATTTAATTGACTGATCAAATGTGTCAATATAGGTAATAAATTGGTCTTTCCAGGGCTATGCACAAACGAATACAGACGTTTGTTTACGGTAAAATACAACACATTTTTACATTATTTTTTTTCTTCTTTGCATTTATTTTTTTTCTTTCTTTACATTTTCTTTGCTTATATAACTAGAATGTGAAAATTAAATTGAAGAACTACTGTTTAACTAAATTGAACTTTCTATTAACGGAAGAGATGTTTGCTGGATGTCCGCTGTAGTCAGAGCTGTTGAGAAACAGAGTTGCGACACTTAGAAAAAAAAATTCCATAGAAAAGGAAAGGAATTAAGGAATGCGGAAGTAAAGCGTGTCACGGAGCAGCCAATAGTTCCAAACAACTAATAGTTCCAGCACTGAAGCCCATTAATTTAAGTGTTTCTCTAGCACACTCGCTAATAAATGGAAGAAATGACTGCATTTTTTGACATTTTAACGCATTAGTTAACCTCTCAGAAATCTGTCCAGTAGTGGTATTCCAGCGTAGTTATTAAAGGCACAATATGTGAGATTTTTTTATTAAAATATCCAAAAACTACTAGAACAGTGTTATATATTTTGCTGACTTGTGTACTTACATTATCCCAAATGTTTTGAATAATGTTTAAATCCAGAGAAATAAGCAATTTTAACTAGTGACACGGACCGTGTCCATAGTGTCATTGTGTCGCCTGCCAATGACGTCATAACCCCACGATTTCCGGTTTTGTTTTGTCGAAAACATGGAAACAACAAAAACGCTTTAATATGTTGTGCGTTTTATTAGACCGGTAACGACCGCACAGAGTAGCATTATAACAGAACTTTCAAATGTATCTAGTATGATAAAACAGCGCTGCTTTACCCCACATACGCACGACCGGAAGCAGCGGAAGCGGTCGACTGTGGCATAATAAAAGCTCTGCTGCTTTCGAGCTGTGTGTCACGCTCGTTCAGTGGCCTCGTTTCGCTTCCACGGCTTTCAGCCTCACCCTGCTTCATTCTACTATGTTAATAAATCATTAGCTCATCCATGAACATGATTTCTGCCCGAGTCCCGTCGGATTGCATCGGCTGTGGGGATGAAGACCACAACTCCCATGATTCCACACTCACAGCGTCATCACACTATGCCTTTGCCTCTGTTTATTTTGAATACATATTGTGCCTTTAATGCACTTTATCTGTTAATAATTACTAGAAATTGCTGCAAATATAGTGAAACTGCTGTCCGTCCCGATTAAACCCATTCAGTCAGACTGACAGCGCGGAGTTGTTTGGAACTATTGAGAGCTCCATGAACCACTTGACCGCGTGGCGGCGAGATCAAAGCATGTCGCAACTCTCTTTCTCAACGGCTCTGGGGTGCGTTTCCCAAAAGCATCATTAGCTAACTGGTTGTAACGACGGAACTTGCGACCATTTGCTTTTGGGAAACGCACCTGTAGTTTTTCAGCGTTCACATGCGTCTCACGTCATGACGACGCGCTTCATCAGTATCCATGGCAACGTTCTGTTGGCGTTTTCTGTAAACCTGACTCTCATCAGCATCAGTTAATCGACTGATCGGCTTTTCCTTTCGCGATTGTGATCGTTTAGATCAGTTTTATTTTGTGTGGTTAACAAGAACCGTGTCGACATGCCTTGTGTTCATTATAAGTTTCGAAGTAAACTCACTCACGACACGGTCGAGTTTGAAGGCCTTCACATCACTCTGACAGAGTTAAAACGACAAATCATGAGGCGCGAGAGACTGAAGCTCTGTGACCTGCAGATCAGCAGCGCGCAAACAAATGAAGGTGAGTTCAGCTCCAGATCACAATAAACCAAACTAAACTTAATTAAACATGTAGAAATAAAACAAAACATGAGGGTGAGTTCAGCTCCAGATCACACTAAACCAAACTAAACTCAACTAAACATAGAACAAAAAAAA